AGTTAAGGAGTAGTTACATTTATACAGTCCTAAAATTACATTCGGCCCTTTGAAAGCAACAGCAAGGCTGATGTGGCCCCTGTGAAGATGAGTTTGACACCCCTGGCTTAGTGGCTGCATGGTTCCTCAAGGAGTGGTGGCAGTGCGCAATACAGAAAAGGCCAACTGAGTGTCTCCCTGAGATATGTATCAGTGCAAGTCTAGATGTACATACAGGTAGTAGTGCTTGCTTCTGTCTTATGCTATCTTTTTATCTTCGTAACATACTCCCCATTTTCCTTTATGAAAAGCATATGGACCTCATTGTCTTAGGTAGAAAGGCTAAGAGAAATGTAAGCAGAAGAAGGTAATGCTTCTGGCTGTGGTAGACTGATATTCAGAGTGTGTGGATTCTCTAAATTAGTTGAAATATTTAAAAAAAATAGCCACTATGACCACAAGAAAAAAAATAAGAAGGAAGGGTCCTGAGAATGGTATCTGAGCCATGAAAGACAGTGAATATTTTAAAGATCACTGAATTTAATTTATTCAACCTAAATGCATAAAAGTACAGGTGGGGACATTATTTATGCAGGTATATGCAAATCACTTTATAAAATAGGCAAAGCCCTTCTGGTTTTTATAAGTTGCCAAGGTGGTTCCTGATATTTTAAAAGCTATGCACCTTTAATGTAATTTCCTAAGAGTTGGAATCCCTCTGTCGGAATCACAGTCACTGTCAGAGCAAGCTTATTTTTTTTCTCTCCTCTGGGACATTTACAAGGCTCTCATAACCATCAATAAAGAGTGGTTTCCACAGAGATGTGACTGGAAAAATCCCTTGGAAATTGCTGAGGAGCAAGTCAGAATGTTCAAAGCAGAGAACATAGGCTTTGAAAACATGAACCCATCTGACCTCTTGAATTTAGTACAGTGAATTCCTGAGCTCTGAGACATGGGGCCCGTCTGTGCATGCCATATTGGTGCTATAAGACTGGCAGTAGGTTGGCTGTGGCATGGTCTATTTCAAACTCCTTCACAGTGCCCAGTGTTGCATGTTCCCAGATGACATTTGGTTGGCAGAAGCTGGGCCTCCAAAGCTGGCAGTCTGGAATGCAGCCCACTGTGTTTTGACAAACACATAATTGACCATCTGATCACCAGCCTACATTCTGCACTCAGGTCACTGGAGGGACCTGGGCTTTGCATAGGTCCTCATTTCTTGTCTTGTTCATCTTCTGAAACCTTTCTCCAGAAAGCAATATAGAGAAGACTTAAACACACCCACACATATACTCCCATTTGCAAAAGAGAACATGGTACATGAAACATAAGCTGTTGAAAATTTCCTTTAAATTGTCCTGGCAGCCCAAAGTGAACAAGAGAAAAGCACACTTATGGTGAACTCTAATTCAGAAAGCAGGAATGAATATACTGAATTGTTTCGACACCCGGCTGTGCATAAGTTGGAATTCAGCTCAATGACTTGAAACTTCTGCTTAGAAAAAGGCAGCAATGGGAAAATGATAGAAAATCAAGGCATTGATTGGCTTTAGGGGGCAAGTCTTAAGAAACTGTTTCGTTTTCAGGTGAAAAGTGAGAAAGGCAGAACACTGGGAATGTTCCCCTACCGGCCTGCTCCACACCCATGTCCCCTGTGGGAGGAGACACACATCTCTGGAGACCAGCAGGCAGCAGCTCAGGGTGAGGTCAGATTCAAATTGAGGCCTCTAGTGAAGCTCCCATAAAGATATACTTTGATCTGATATTTGGCCCCGTACAACACATCAGCTTTTCTCCTAGAAGGCAAGGACTTTTCATTGGGCCAAGATGTGCTGGCATTACACAGTGTCAGTGTCTATACCGACACTACCAAACACCCTCTCTTCTCTGCTCCCACTGCATGGTTCAGGTCTTCGATCTTCACCTTTGACTTGATCTCCCCTTTTCAGTCAGCCATCACTACCATCACCAGGAAGCTCTTTTTCTAAAACACAAATCTGGCTAGAAGTCTTCAAAGTCTCCTCAGTCCTGCAGCATCAAGTTCAAACTCCTTCCTATGTACAGCCTTCTAGGCCCTCTGTGATCTGCCTTGTACCACTTCTCAGCTTCGGCTCCAGCTCCTCCTCCAGCCACCATGTGCTGGCTGCACTGACTACCGTCCTCTGGATCTGGCTGCTGCTAGATGCTTCCTGACTTTGCAAATGCTTTGACTTTGCTTTTCCTGATGCTGAGTCCCTTTTGCTTTCCCCTCATCCATACCCATTTGGTAAGGTGCAATTCATTCTTTAGACTTTAAGGCCTTGCCTGGGTACCTCTTCACGTGTAGGTAGGCACTCCTTTCTCATAACCCTTGCTACATCTGGTATATACTTCCATTCCAGCTCCTACCACATGGTAGAGCCTTTGTTTACTATTTAGCTCCCCTACCAGGCTGTGGGATTCTTAATAACAGGCAGCACTTCTTATTTGTCTTGGAGTTCCAGGGACCAAGCAGAGTGACTAGCTTTCCATAAATGTTTGTCGACTGAAAACTGAATAGTGAGCTGTGCATGATAATTAATCAAAACTAAACCAAGCAGTAGTATTAGCTTCCATACGCATGGTAGGAGCCTCTTAGAAATCTAATGAGGGCAGAAGATCCCAGAAGTAAGGTACTTTCTGATGACTCACAGGTTGAGAGTAAGAATCAGGGGTAGAGGGTGTGATGGGGGAATGTCTTGCTAACAGAGAATGTCACTGAAGCGGTGAATGTTCAGCTCTCTCAACACTTAGTTTTCAATACTGAAAGGTACTGTCCTGAGAATGGATCAGGGTCTGAACTGTACTGAGGTCCCACTTAGGGCTAGACTGTGATACCTGCTTCAAGGCAGCATGGCAGGTTGTGAAGGGCTCCTCTTCATTTCTGCTAAAGAATAATGAAATGGAAAACTCTTGGGGGAACATCTGGAAGCTATTCAGTTCCTATTAAAGTCTGTGACAAATACAGATTGGGACTTTGGACTAAATGCAATGCCAAGGAGGGAGGGTCAAACAGGCAGAATTGTGCCTGTGCCTGAAGGAGGCCATGGAGAAAACTCTGGAGCTAGAAGCACTGGGGAGATAAAGTTCTAATCTGTTCCCAAGAACTTTCCTCTCTCTTTGATGGGCATCTGGGGCACCACCTCTGGAGCCATCAGCTTGTCTGTGGGGCACTTGAGGACAGCAAGACTGTCATAAGCCCTGCCACCCTTGATATAAAGGCAAGCCTCAGTATTTAGAACAATTCCAGTGAGTGAAGCTTAGCTCAGGCTGGGATAAGGTCAGTGGGTACAGTAATGGACTATCGGCCCATCACAGGTCATTCTCCCAGCCTTCTCTCTGCTTAAAAGCTAGGTTTTCTCCACAAGCGCTCAATTGATGGTTGATACAGCAAAAAATCAGTTTCACATTTTCCTATGAGCCAGAGTCAGCCTGTCAGTTACATTTTTTTATCTCAAAGGTCTCCATCTTGATCTGTAATTGTGACACAGGTCTCCAGTCCCCTGTACTGCCTGTGCCTGAGGCTCGCCCCCCCAGTGCTGACGTCATAATAGCTGAGCCGTGCGGGCAGGAGTGCGCTGTGCTGACTCATCCCTGCTGATGTGAGGATTAATGCCTTGTCTGACACAGAGCTATTATGTGAACTGTTTTTACACAAAGAACTGTAACAAAATGATTTGCCAGTCAGAAGACTAGAAATATGCAGTCCTAGGTAACTGAGGTAGGGACACAGAGACATAAAAGTGGTAACCATAAGCATGCACATGGACACCCTCCAAAGCATTGACAGACCCACTCTATCAACACTGAGAATAAGGAATAACAAGGCTTGCCAGGGGCAGGGAGGATCCACCCCTGCTGTATAAATGTATTATGCACAGCACCAGCATTTGGGGAGTTTAATCAATCTCCTTTTTCTGTCAAATAACTGTCACTTCAGGCTTTCGCCTAGGCATCCTTTGGAGGATTCTGTTCCTCCTAAATATATTTACCTAGCTTCTAAGAATATTAGTGGAAGCCCCACATAAGCAAAAGAGCCATGGGAACCCCCTTTCTGTGCAAATGATTACAAGAAATCCTCGGAGTGAGGAGCCAGTGAAGTAATATAGAATGTTGTGAATGGGAACCAGTTGGGCTCACCAGAGAGTGAGAGAGTAGCTGGAAGGAATCATTTATTTGAGTAAATAAATGATTATTTATCACATAAGGTGACTGCCACTACTTGTAGCATCTCTCAGGTGATATCTCATGCAATGACTTCGATTATTTAGGTTCACTGCCCCAGAACCTCTTTCAAGCAGCTCAAGGTAAAATTTATCCAAACCCACTGAGTGAAGCCTAGTTTGGGCTTTAAATAATAAATATTCTCTCTTTTCATCTAAAATCAGGATTTTTTTTCTCTCTAAATGATTAATTCTCTTCTAAAAAAAGCATGGTACCCTTTATAAACCTTCTGGTACATGTAACCCTAAATTTCTCTTTCCTTCCCTCCTCCCTGGACTTTACAGTTTCTCACACAATTTTAACCTAAATGGCTGAAGTCTGGTACTTCTTAGTAAAAGGGCATTAGAAATTTTGTCAGTAAATGACATAGTTGAAATTAAAAACCATTGAACCTAGGAATGGGTGTATCACTGAAGAATGAATAATTGCCCATTTATTGACAGTGGAGCAAAAGCCCAACTGTTGCGGGTATCTGGCTGAAGAATGTACGCTCTAGTTTGGAATAGCAGTCACTTTTGCAAACAGCAGCTGCGGCTGAGTAAAAGGCAGTCTTTATATGAGTCCAGTTGCTGGGCCCGCTGGCCTTTGCAGCCCCTCATGGATGGCAACTACTGCTACTACCACCACCAGCGTTAACTCCACACACAAAAGGGGCTAATACATCCTGAAAAAGTGCTGGGAACCGCAAAAAGGTCAACTAGACAACTTGCCCATAAAGACTCAAATTTCCCCCATCTGACACTTCTTTGAAAAGTAAAGAAACCAATTTTACTTACATAAAGAGAAGGGGCAGGCCACAGACTGATGGTCAAGGAACTGAAAATCAAAGAAAAAACAGGAATTACACATGAACCCAATGGTACTGTGGAGAGAAGGAAAGTAAGTCGAAGTATCGTAGAGATGGGACTGGTTGTCCCTAAAGGATGAGTTGTAGAAGTCCATGGTTTTGTCACCTGGAGCCCAAAGAAAAAGGAGATCCAACCTCATGACATTTTCCAAAGGTGTGACTTCCTGCTGTGTGACCAGCACAGTACTTCCCAGTGCAAGAAGTGCCAACCTTTTTCCTTGTAAAGTTGTTTCTGATCTGAATCATATATTTTATAGAGCTGTGCTGTACAGTACAGTAGTCACTAGCCATATTTATCTATTAAATTTAAATTAATTAAAATTTAATGAAAAATTAAACATTTAGGTTCCCCTGTCACACTAGTGACATTTCAAGTACTCAACATTTTTGTTGGTGCATACATAAATGTCTATTGGGCAGCATTGGCTGGAATAGGTAAAAGTGCCCTGACTGGTGTGCTCAGTTTGTTGGGCATCATCCTGCAAAGCAGAAGATCTCTGGTTCAATTCCTGGTGAGGGCACATGCCTGGGTTGTGGGTTTGGTTCCTAGTCGGGGCTTGTTCAACAGGCAACTGATTGATGTTTCTCTCTCAAATCAATGTTTCCCTCCCTTTCTCTCTTCCTTCCCTCTCTCTAAAAGTAAATAAATAAAACCTTAAAAAAGAAAGAAAAAAGATAGAATAGGTAAAAGCTTTACTGTGTAGTACTTGAGAAATCTGAGATAATTTTGAGAAGGATGAGTCAACCTCTAATAAACTTTGGTTCTTTTAAGGATAAACTTATATTCAATGCCCATAAGATCCTGTGGACTAATTCACCGCCTCCATGTATTGTTAACACTCACTTCAGGACTGGGGGTGGTGCTGGTTGAGGACTTGATGATGCCTCCTCCTCCTACCTTACCAGCCTAGCAGTGTCCCCTCTGACAAAATGATATTAGGCAAAGCATTTGTCCTTCAAAACATGTCTCTAATGATGACAACTTCAGGTTTGGGGGAGGTGAGCTTAACAGGTTCTCATTCTGTGTTTGAAATCTAGTAATTCTCCTTTGTAGTCTTCAACTTATGAGCCAAATAGGCTATTATGGAATTGGCCTGCTCACCATTATTTTGATGCCTTCCCTTACAGACGAATAAAACTAAAGTAACATAAGATCCACAACAAATAAATAAACCAACCAAGGAAGCTGAGAAACAAAGCAGGTATCCCCACCACCTCACATTCAAATATATCAAAGACTCAACACTGATTGAATTCTTGTCTCTCTGACACCATGATTATAACCACTTCACATAAGGCCTCCAGAAATATGCAAAACAAACCATATTAAAAGAGATCAAGAAGGATTTGATTAAACAACTCAGCATAGAATAAAGCTAAAGCAGAAAACTGGCATATAAGACTTCACTTCTCAACAAATTTTCTGGACAAATGCATGATCATAGATGTTCCTCCAAAGAACGAGCTACTCCTTCATCTCCGAGGCGAAACTCTGTCCACGCACGTGCAGGTGGACAGGCTGGTGTTACTCTCCACCGACAAGAAGAGTCGAGATGAAGATTTGATCATAATGTATGTTAACACAAGAGAGACTGGGGGTCTCTGATGCTTTTAAGCTTTTAAATTCTTTCACAAAATTGATGAACTTAATGAATATTTTAAGTAAAATAATTAGATTATTTATTGTTTATTGAGAGTACATACAAACCTGAAATGTATGTATTATATGTTCTAAGGACTTTAAAACTCTAAGTTTTGCTATATTGTAGTCTCTTTGGCAAGCCAGGATCCTAGACAATTGTACTGGTGCATCTTTTAAAATGTTTTCCCTGAACTTGACTGCGTAGCTCAGTTGATTAGATCATCATCCCGACATGTTCCATCCCTGGTGAGGGCCCACACAAACATCAACCAATGAACACATAAATAAGGGGAACAACAAATTGATGATTCTCTCTCTCTCTCCTTTCTTCTCTAAAAATCAATAAATACATTTAAAATACATATTTTTATGCCCCCTCTCCCTCCTTCCTCCCTCCCTCCTTCCTTCCTTCCTTCCTTCCTTCCTTCCTTCCTCCCTTTTTTTTTCCTCCCTTTCCCACAACTTCTTTTCAGCTTGCTTTCTATCCTAATCTGAGGGGAAGGAGAAAAACATGATTACTGGTTATCTATGAAACATGCTCACTTATCATTTTTGTGTTGCACATTATAAACTCAATAACTCAGTAATATATTATTTTTAATTTAATTTTATTATTTAACAGTATATTTCATTGATTATGCTATTACAGTTGTCCCATTTTTTATCTCCTTTATTCCCTTGCACCCTACATGCCACCTCCCACTAGCATCACCCCCTTAGTTCATGTCCATGGGTCATACATGTAAGTTCTTTGGTTTCCACATTTCCTATACTATTCTTAACCCCCCCTGACTATTTTATACCTACCAAATATGCTTCTTATTGCCTGTACACCTTTTCCCCCATTCTTCCCCCTCCCCATTGATAACCTTCCATGTGATCTCCATTTCTGTGATTCTGTACCTGTTGTAGTTATTTGTTTAGTTTTTGTTTTTTGGTTCAGTTATTGATAGTTGTGAGTTTTGTTGCCATTTTAATGTTCATAGTTCTGATTTTCTTCTTTCTCTTAGATAAGTCCCTTTAACATTTCATATAATAAGGGATTGGTGATGATGAACTCCTTTAACTTGACCTTATCTGGGAAGCACTTTATCTGCCCTTCCATTTCAAATGATATTTTCTAGATAGAGTAATCTTGGATGTAGGTCCCTGCCTTTCATGATTTTGAGTATTTCTTTCCAGCCCTTTCTTGCCTATAAAGTTTCTTTTGAGAAATCAGCTGATAGTCTTATGGGAACTCCTTTGCAGGTAACTCTCTCCTTTTCTCTTGCTGCTTTTAAGAGTCTCTCCTCTTTCATCTTGGGTAATGTAATTATGATGTGCTTTGGTGTGTGCTTTCTTGGGTCCAACTTTTTTTGGGACTCTCTGAGCTTCCTGAACTTCCTGGAAGTCTATTTCCTTTGCCAGATTAGGAAAGTTCTCTGTCTTTATGTTTTCAAATAAGTTTTCAATTTCTTGCTCTCCCTCTTCTCCTTCTGACACCCCCCTATGATTGGATATTGGAACACTTAAAGTTGTCCCATAGGTTCCTAAGCCTCTCCTCATTCTTTTGAATTCTTGTTTCTTCATTCTGTTCTGGTTGAATGCTCATTTCTTCCTTCTGCTCCAAGTCATTGATTTGAGTCCTGGTTTCCTTCTCCTCACTGTTGTTTTCCTGTATATTTTCCTTTATTTCATCTTACATAGCCTTCACTTTTTCTTCTATTTGTGACCTTACACAACCATTTCTGTGAGCATCCTGATTACCAGTGTTTGAACTCTGTATCTAATAGGTTGTCTATCTCTTTGTCACTCAGTTCTATTTTTGAAGCTTTAATATATTCTTTCATTTGGGCCGTATTTCTTTGTTTCCACCCGCCTGTTACATTATAAGGGGTGGTGCCTTAGGTATTTGCCAGGGCAGGGCAACCCAAGTTGCTGTGTTGTGTCATCATTGTGTCTAGGGGAGGGGTCATAGAGGAACAATGCCTGCTTGCTTGGCTTTCAGCTGGCTTTCAGTCACTCCCCTTTTTACTCACAAGCAAATTGGGCCCTTCTGGTGCTGATTCCTTGGTGGGTGGGTTTGCGTGCATTCTAAAACTCCATGGGTCTCTCCAACCAACTCTTCTGTGAGGGTGGGACTTTCTCCCACCACTGCAACCCTCACAGGTCTTTAGTCAGAAGTTTTGAGGCTTTATTTTCCCCTGCGCTGGAACCCTGGGTTGCTTGGCCCAATTGTACCTCCCAGTTTATCCACCTGTAAATGTGGGAGTACTCCGTCAGCCAGCTGTGGCCTTGAGCGCTCTGGTGTGCCAGCTGCTGCCTCACCTGCCTAGTCCTCCAGCCGCCACCTTGCCACGTGTCCTTTCCATCCAGGATGCCTGTTTCCGCCCCCTCCTACTGGTCTGAATGAATGTTTCTTCTTTAATTCCTTGGTTGTCGGACTTTCATACAGTTTGATTTTCTGGCAGTTCTGACTATTTTTTGGTTTTAAACTCATTGCTGTCCTTCTTTTGGTTGTGCAAGAAGGCAAAGTCTATCTTCCTATACCCCCATTCTATTTTTTAAAATACACTTTGTATTTATGTTCTTATACCTAAGCATATAACATGACTTTTTAAATTTCAAGGAGCATTTTTTTCATAAGAGTTAATCAGTCAAAATTAAATTTTTGATGTGATCAGAAGAAATCAATAGTATATTGTACCCAGATTAACCAATACATCCAAGATCTGGAATAAAAAAAACTATCTTTCTGGATGTCAACTACATACAGGCTGTCAATAACAGGAATCCAAGATGGAGAGAAAAACCACAGTGTGTATGTCATGGTCTAAGACAAATTAAAGCCAAGTTAAATTGAAGATTTTATTGGATGTAATTGTTGTCTTTATATCTTAATGAAAAACAATAATACCTATCCCAAATTTAATATTAAGACCAAATATTTAATTTCAGAGTTCTTATACAATTCATAAATGTTCATAAATGTCCAAAGGCCCCAACTTCTTGATTGAATTACAAACTGCTAGGCAATTTTGAGAATATGTACTAATCTATATATGTTTATTTTTACTGAGTTCACATGTTATTTTATTGATCCTTTCTGCCTAAGTAATATTCACCTCATATGTCTATAACTTGTTTTCATTAGACATTTCAAGAATTATCTATAATATTTTTGCATAAGAATAAAAACATTTGCATTAAGCATGCTAGGTTCAAAGCACAAATATCTAGCAAGGAATATATAACTGCAAAGCCCAAATGATAAGGACCTTGAAACATGGTGAAGGAAACACGAGTAGAGAGGGGGAGAAGGGGTGACTTGTGGAAGTCTAATCTTAG